AAAAAAAAAAAAAAAGATGCCAACCTCTGGAGATCTAAAATGTGAAGATTTTCTCTTTTGCATTATCCCCTCCCCACCCCGCCCCCCCCAAAAAAATGACCAAGCCCCCCTCACTAGCACTATCCCCCCACCACCAAAAATTAAGCACAAATTGACCCAGTCTGCAAATTATAATGGGAATGGCTTAAGAATTTATATATGAAGTCTTACATATTTGGCACAGACCATCCAAATTTGCTTTTATGGTTGTATATGTTGTGGTTCAATTTTATCCTTGGTTTAAATTTTATTTCTCTTTGTTTTAAACTCATCATCATAGATAACCATACCCCAAAACAAAGAAAAATAAAATTTAAACCAAGAGTAAAATTGAACCACAACATATATAAGGACAAAATAATCACTAAGTGCAATCATGCCCCCAAAACCGTACTACGAATAAACAAAATTATGAATTTTGGGGCAACATGGGCTTAATTCCAAACTAAAGCAGAGTAAAGCTCAAAAGTTTATTAATTTTTATCCAAGAGATTTGGACCCTGATGGGAGATTAGGAGATGCATGATAAATTAAAGAAAAACTCCACCTGAAAATAGTACCGGTAATGGACTATTGTCTACACAAATGTAGGTCTGAGTGAATGACACACCAATGGGATAGGTTTAAAAATGTGACAACTTTAGCTCTTCTAAAACAGTTGATCAAAAAAACTATTTTAAAAGCATTAAACTTTAAACATTTATTTATTTTGTTTTTTTTAAATGAATTATTGATGAGTTTTTGATTTTTTCTGCACCATGCCTGATCCACTAAATAATCAATAAAGGGTGGGTTCAATTGGGAAATCTGGATTTAGATGTTAAAATCCGGATATTGGATTTGCAATTAAACGCGAAATCCGAAATTGGATTTCAACACTGAGATCATGCTGAAATATATGTTTTTGGATTTTCTTTTTACCGTTCGATTGGGAAATCTGAAAAAGGATTTGAAGAACTGTCCTTAAGAACAGCTGTCTTGCACAGTCATGCATAATTAGCAAAAAGAAGACTGCTTTTCACGAGAATAGTTTTTCAAATCCTCGGATTTCCTAATCGAATGGTAAAAAGAAAATCCATGAAATACGGATTTGCATGTCTTAATTGAAATCCACCCTGAGGATGGATTTCTCGGAGGTGAAATCCGTTTTCGAATATCTGGGTTTCAAAATCTAAATCTGGATTTCCCAATCAAATGCAACCAAAGTCACTATAGAAGCAAAAATCTCAAAAGTCTCAGTGTTAGTTTGGAAAAAATAAAAAATGATGTTTAAATGTCAGTTGGTAAAATACTATTTGAACAGAAAATATTAAAAATAACACGTCATAAACTACCAGTGCCTACAGTTTTAGAAAAGTCCCGGTGTACATGCCATTATATGGTGGATACTGTACACATCATAGTATACCATGAATAGATGTAGTGTAAAAGTGTCTTGAGTTCTCAAAATTGTTAAGTGTGAAATTATAGTTATTATTTTATTTTTACAGCACCAAGTTGTGTTTTATTTGATGCTGCTGACACATGATCATGAAACACAAGATAAATTATCAGAGAAAAATCAGCAACTTGTCCCACTTTTCACGGTAACTATCATTATTAAGTTATAGATGAGTACTCTGTGGTTATTAGGTAGTGGGTGGCAAGAAAAGTACACATTTACCAAGTTAGCTATAATAATCTTATGTATTCATCTCTCATTAATCTCAATCTCATATTTTAAAGTACACACAAGCCACAGTCAGGTTCTACTGAGGTTCTGTTGTGAACCTATATACTGTTAGTATTACAGTATAAAACTGGGTTAAGGCGTTTCCAGGACATTGGTGGCATTGTTATGCAATGTTTTAGAGGGCAGTAATTGTTATAGCAGGGTTCTTAACTAGATGCTAAAAGCTAAACTACACAATAAATATGCAGGGTGCATAGTGTTACCAGCCTTATCTGTATAATCTTATAAATTGCCATAAAAAGCATTAATGATGGTATTTTGTAATGAAACACTAAAATGACAAATCTACACTTTAACTTAACTACACAAAATAATAATATAAAAGAGCTCTTTAATTTTAGTTGTCTCTTATTATTATCACTAAGTTATGATGATGATGATTATTATTTAATTGTTGCAATTTCTTTAAAATTTGTATTTCAGGCATCAATGCCTTGTCTAGAAACCATCAAACCAATATATCATGACATGAAGAAGATACTTGGAACAAGATAAACAATATTATAGTAGGGTTCAATTTGCATAACAAGGGTACAAAATTAAAGGAGGCTAACAGACTATAGAACCTACCAGACGGCATAGCTCTTAGCACTATTTTACCATCCTGAGAAAAGGGTTGAACTAAAAGCATGTCTGACAAATGACAAACAAATGTGAATTATATACTTTGTATAGTTGGGTGAACTGCTTTGTGTTTGTATAGTGACTAGTACTAGCTGTAGGCAATGGTATAAAAGTGGTAAGAACAAGAACAATAACCAAATGCGCAGTGCCTTGGTTCTGGTCTGTGCAACCGGAATGTACCAGTTCTATTGGACACGTGGAATTTCCGAAATTTCAAACCATAATTTTTGTTGAATGGAAAGAGCCCAAAGAGTTACATATAAAGTTACAGAAGTATAACATTACATGGGACATATTTTAAATTCAAATTGTATTATTTATTATGCATAACATTGATTAAAATACAGCAACATTAAACATGACTTAATAATACAAATCACAGATTCATTTTCAAATTATCGATTCTTAATGGAATCTTGGGGGGGGGGGGGTACACTTGACATGGGTTGACAGTAATACAGGTGAAGTTAACGTTGTTGATCATGTTGGTGATGATGATAACAGCAGTGATGGCAGTGATCAAATAACAGTAATATGATGACAATGGATTTGCATGCTTTGAATGATAGGTATATATGGGTATAAGAACCGTTATTGTTATTGAATTCCATTTTGAGTGACTTTATCATTTTCCTCAGCTAACATGCTGCTTGCAAGATATTCCTCTGAGAATCCTTCATTCTTCTGAGCAGCAGAAAAAACTTAGACAGGCAGTTTCCTATTTTGCTGAAGAAAATAAGTTAAAAGCAGTTAATGGTGAGTGGTTAACTGACTGTAATAGAAATTAGAGATGAATTCATCTGCAAATGCGATAGCCTGTGCCACAGACGGAACTCATCTTCTTGTTAAGTCTGTCTTCTAAACAGTGCTGAAATCCTAGTTCTGGGCCCCCACCTGTGTAACAGGATTTGAGTGTGTGCCATGAATTGCCTGTTAAAAATGCCATTGTTGATTTGCCAATCAGCTTGAAGAAAAATTCAAAATGCATTTGTGGTAATTCGTTGCATCTGTTGGGCACTCAGAACAAGGATATGGCCCCACATCTAACTGCAGGGGTTAGATTACATCTGTGTCACAGGCTGCATATTCAAAAGACAATCAGATAACAGATCAATAAATAAGTTATGAATGTATGAAAATCATATATGTGAAGAATAAATAACATGAAAGAACATCATCACAGTTATAGATGCAACTTTTGCAGTTGCGAAAAGAAAGCCTGAATTTGGTTTGTACGGGATTCGAACCCTTGACCTCTGCAATACCGGTGCAGCGCTCTTACCAATTAATCTAAAAAGCCAACGGGGAGCAGTTCGATGAATTGATGAATTATAAACCCGTGAAAGGATAATGACGAAGTTATGAATGTATTAAAATCATAATTATATGAAAAAGTTGTGTCTAAGTTTCCTATGATCTTCTTTTATATAAATAAATTATTTTTGTCACTTTAAAGTCAATGAAGAGGTTACATTGTAAATAACATTTCTTTAATGTATGATTTTGAATTATTATTTTTGTTATGCACAAATTTTATCCTAATGATATTAATATTTCTTGTATATTATTTTTGCAGTGTATGTATTATGCAAGCAAGGCAATGATTCACAAAAAGCAGTCCAGTTATTAATAGATAAGGGATTTTGCAAAAATCTCGATAACCTTCTATTAAATGATGATCCATCATGCGTTAGAGACAGCACCCTAGATACATCAGCTGGAGGGAAACTCAATGTTACATTTAAAGACATTGCTGGTGGCCTTCAAGCTTGGGCCAAACATATTGATAAGGATTTCCCTGTTTACTAGTGCAAATGGCGCTGATTATCTGTCCCAGTGCAATAAATATTGTAGCCCCAATTTCGGCCAATCTCCTTGAGGCACCAACCCGTAAGAGAGTGTAACTCGAGGAGGCTGCTGAAATAAAGGCTCAGTCAATTCCAACCCTTGCAACTTATTTATAGCACAGAGGCTAGTTGGGCTGGGCAAATGACTGACACAAATATTGTTAAAAATGAAACATAATTGAGTTAAGAATCCCAGTTGGCTGGAGGCAGCCTTTGCCACAGATAGGCCCACCGTGGACAATGAGTGGCTCCCCGGCTGTGTACCAGGATTTAGGTGCATGCAGTGGTTGGCCGGTTAAAAATGCCATTGTTTGATGTGCCAACCAGGTTGAAGAAAAATTTGAAACACTCTTCTGAGAATTTGTTGGGTCTGTTGGGAGCCCAGAAGAAAGAAATTGGTGCTGCTTTGCAGACATTACTAGGTAGGGTTAGATTACACTTTTTTGATATTTCTTATGGAATATCACCTCATCAGTTATCTAAGTGCAAGTGTTACGTATCCCTGATGGTTTTTCTATTCATTAGAAGCAAGCAATCTAGTTATGGTCCAAAGATTTGAACTTGGGGCTCCCATGAAACAAATCAATTCAGTGGTCAGGGCCAGACGTTAATCCAGGGCCTCCAGATTGTAGCTCAGCAATCCAACTACCTGGCTGGACTGCCACCTTAAGTAAAGACTCTGACTGTAAGCTAAAGTATGATAACACTTTTTGTTTTAATACCAACTGAAAGACAGCTCCGGGTACATAATTATACCAATGCCTTTAATAACATGAAAAGTATTGCAACTGACTTTAAGATAAAATAGTAATAATAATTATTATTAAAAATTTTTACAGTAAAATGTCTCTTTTGATCACTTTGTGACCAGATTTATGTAATGCGTGTACAAGAATCTCTTATCTTTAAAGTTAAAATTAACAGAGGTGTGAAAAATGACATGCCCGCTGCATGCATAAATTATTCAAAACAAAAGATGTTAATAAAATGATGTCACGTAGAAGAGAGAGAAATTTAATGTTATAACAGCATCCATTCCAGGGGAGGTCCTATATTCAAATATTTAAATCACTGTCAAGGGAGCCTGCTAAGTAATACCAGCCTGAGATCAGTAATATTGTAAAAGGACTAAGTGGAGTCCAGTTCAGTTTGTAATCATACGAGTGATTAACAAAATCACAGGAGTCCGATTTGTTTCATCACGAGTACGATTACAGACTGAATTGGATGACATGAAGTTCTCTTACCAATTAATCATAGCTATAACAAAATTTGTGATATTTTAGGCTTTTTGCTAATTGAAAAAGAAGAAATTTATAGCTAGCAGTGAAAAAAGCCATTTATTAAGTGCGCGTGTGTGATGGCATATACTGTCCAATTACTTAGGTATGATGCATACTGTCCTATTGCACTGTAGTCCTATTAGTGCTGAAATCAGGACAGTTGATAGCCAATCAGATTTGAGAATTTTGGTATAGTTATGATTAATATTGTCATGGCAATCACCCTACACTGTAGATTTAGCATGACCTTAGTTTCAAACAACTTCATGTAGGCACAGGATATAACATAATAATATTGATGTAGTAAACTGATAATGTAGACATATTGAGTACAGAACTGTTTCCCTATTAAAAAAATAAAATTGGTAAAGGTAAATTTTTTTTACATTGTGTATGCAGAAGGGCCCATTTGCTCCAAATATGAGTAATAGCAGTAGCTAGACAGGGTTTGTACCATGGAGAGAAAGTAAAATACTAGGAAATTTCCTGGCTAATGTGAAAATGTAGAATGTAACACACAATGGGCATTCATGCCAAGCAATATCAAATTTCAGAAGGAGGATCCAATAAAAGGGATTCAAGGAGTAGGTACAAACCCAGGCTAGGTGACCCTATATTGTAGTGTTTCTTGCCTTTCAATAATTTTTTTCTCTCTTGCACTAAAATGTCCACAAACTTGTCGAATAATCATGCCATTTTAAAAGGCTCAGTCTCTTCCCTAGATGAAATGTCTCATGTAAAAGAAAGCTATGTACATAGCTTATAGCTTATAAATAATATCAGCAGCTTGGAAAAGTACACCCAGCTGATTATTTCTGTAAAATGCCTAGCATGCATAGGAGCATAATATTTCCTATCCTTCTTCAAGCTTCTTCATGTCCTTGTATTTAATATATTCAAAACCTCCAATCCTGAAGACTTGTTCTATAATTTCACAAACTCTTGTTATTGCACTGAACAAGCTGTAGATCCATCCCCCATGTGCCCTGATGCTTTTGCAAAGCATATTGCTTGCATCCATTCCTGTTGGTCTTGTTCACTCTCAGCTGAGAAGAAGTAAACTCTTTTAGCTCCTCTTGGCTTTATCCTGAAGGCAAACTGTTTCTTGTCTATGTTGCAGTCAGATAATTCACATCCCTCTAACATTACGACTTTTGATTGCTCCTGTTAACAGAATAAACAAATTTTGTTAACGGAATAAACAAAAAACAAGTAAAGGGTTTTCTTACTTAAAGTTTTTAGTACGTGGTGTATAGCTGTTCTATGAAGAAAAAAATAATAAACAATCCTAGACCAAAAATGAAAAGAAAAGTAGTGCATGCATTGACAGGGACATTTCTACGTTAAAATGACCTGTTTTTAGCTGTGTCTAAGTTCTATCGTGATCGCAGTATCTTAGGAGTCACAGCTTTCCTGATGATATTATATTTTTTGTTGTGATTAGTAGATACTACTAAATATAAAACGCAAAGTATTATTCATCATTTCTCTTCTCATTAGGTCAATTTTGTTGTAAATTATACCCTCATAGTGACATTCACCATTTTGAATTTTTGTGGATGAATTTGTTTACCTATCTTTCATTCCATGGACTGCAGCACCACTAACAGAAAACGTAGATTAAACTGATTTGAAAATACTTATGCTCGTTAATACACATGTAACTGTGATTTAAAGGAATGACAATAAAAATATATCAATACATATAACATTATCACTGTCAGATATAGAACAAAAATAC